AAGAATTTTAATGTAATAAGGCGGTAAACGAGCAGACGGATTACCTGATGGTAAGTAATTGGCGTCGCCCATGGATACCCGCAACACCAAAGTTGTTACGAGTGCGTTACTAGCTTTTTGGAGATACGGTTTGGGAATCGAGGAGGAAGGAGGAGACCTTCCAACACCCTAACTCATACCTATAGCGAAACACAACGCTGTGGTTAATACCAGGGAATTACAGAAAAGCGGCGTTAAATAAGCTTGCGTTGTGTATCGCAGTTGAAGTAAGGTTAACGGAGGCACAATTTCTTCTCTCCTGGTACCCGATCTCCCGAAACCTCAATCCCTCATTCCTAAAAGGTAAAACGCATCTGCAACTACTCTGGTCCTGCCGTTGTACATGGGCGGCGCCAGTTACTTACGCACTATCAGGTGAAACAACTGTTCACTTGTCACCCTATCCCATAAAAATTACATTTGAACTGAATGCAAACAATGTTGTGCTTTCACATGAAGTCATTAAAAGGCTTTTTTTCTCTTATTTTGGACACATAAAGTCCGAAGATAATATAAACAACTATTATTTTATCTACAATTCTAACACTAACTTCTTGCGTGTATCAAAGTCACTAACGAATTTTGCGTTCCAAAAAACTCACGAAAATAGGATCCTAGATAACCTTCCCACGTCTTCCAAGAAAAACAAACATCACTTAAAGTTAGGAGATCCGGCAAACTTTTTAAGAGGTCTTAAATAAGTGTCAAACGAAGCAAATCTCCGAAGAGGTCGAAACTTTAAAGGTTACTTAACTTTTTTGGCTAAAAACAAAACAACAACGATGTTTTGTAGTCGCGTAGAAAATCTGTTCAATGTCTTATGTCGATACAATCTTGTTTGAAGTTTGGCTATGATGATAGAAGATATTTATGGAGTTTTCCAATTAAAAAGGAATATTCCTATTCTATGATATTGCATAGGAATGGCTGTTTTATCATTGAAGGTGTTTTTCCCAAGAGACTTGTGATTTACATCTGTGTAGATCAACCTTTTATAGGTTTATCAAAATTCGTTGAAGTTTGTCTATAGATGGTGTTCCATTCTAATTTCTTGAGAGTGTGTCATATGACAGGTAATAATGTCTTGGTTTTGTCTAAGACAAGTAGTTGAGGTGAGCAAGAAAAGTTCCTATTTGCAACAAAAGGTTGACAACTATCAACAGATACGATTACGAGTGGTTTCTTTATCGCATAAGTCGGCATAGACACCCGCAACACCAAAGGAGTTACGAGTCCATTGCAAGCATTTTAGGGATAAGGGTTGCAGATATTTAAGGATTGGGAAGGGATAAGAGAGAGGAAGGGATTGGGTCTCTGGTAACGTTTTCTGTGAGGCTGTGGTTTCACTCCGGTCGAGCCGACCCATTCGTGCCGAAGGCATAAGCATGGCTCTCCCACACTTGGTGGATTTAACTTTTTGGCTGGCTGGTGTATTTAATTTTCTGGTAAACATCAATAATTTTAAATTAAGTTTGTTTATATTTATGTTCAGAAGAAATCAGCATATTTAAATTATCACAAATATTTTTGAATATACATTGCACAAATAAACGTCTACCACAAAGTTTACCCTTCGTCCCGTAACGCCATAAAAACATATTGGGTTTTAGGTTGGTTTAGGTTGCGCGCGCGCAGCGATCTATTTCGGTATCGCTGTAAACACGCATTGTTGCTCTAATGTTGTTTGTTTACCCGACTGCTGGCCGCCTCAAAGCGGTGCAAGGTGCCAGGGCTAGGTTTCAGATACAATCTAGGTGCTAGACTGACTACTAATACCAAATAAATACTTGTAGATACACACACAGTAGATCGACAATAAAACAAATTACAGGGGGCGTGACAAATCCAACATGACGTATGCAAAGTTTGTGCGCTGATAGGCATGAATATACTAACGTACAACTCCACGCCTGGTCGGACATTCTCACTTTTCCAATCTTAGGATACTTTTCTCTATGTTCCCTAAGGTCCATAACCTGATTAGTACTAACTTTTACTTATCGAATAAAAATGGAATAATGCTTTGATTGTCACAGCAAACGACTGATTTCTTTATTTACTAAGTAATTTATATAATACTTGATTTGATATTTGAATGATGCCACAAAAAAGATACTTAACATTCTCTACAAATCTTTTCTGATTACTTCAGAAATCCACAACAGAAACGTCGTTTCCCTGTTTAGTTTTTGCATAATATATAACCGCTTGACGTAACATTTAACTCGGCTGGACGTGCGTCGCCTCTCGTCGTAAAACTTCAAATGTCAGTAGTATTCTCATAAAACAAACGGTTGGTTATAACTGGCCAGTTAACCCCGTCGCCGACCCACTTGGTAGACGACTTCATATTTGCGGGACCGTTTTCGAAAATAGAACGCGACGACTTAAGGGTTAGGTGACACGAAATATTTTTGAAAAAGGAATTCGAAACCGTCTGTTTCTTTTCTCGATTGTTATTGCCAGCCAGTATTATTACAGAGAAATGAAAAACTTCTAAAATTAAAAATTGAAGTCTATCGTGAAAATTGGTAACGACGGGGTCCCACGTCGTTGAGGTTTATTTAAACTATTCCAAAGTGTTAAGGGGAGAAAATCATCAATAAAATTGTCTTCCCACGCCCTGAGACAAGAGGGAGTATCAGACTCTTACTGACTAAAAACCGTTCCCAGCCTTCCCCTGCTCTGGGCAGGAGCTTGCACCTACATCTCCGGCAGTACAGGCAATTAGTAATTGCTAAGAGTAAAATTAAACATTAAATATGACTCTGAATACGGCAGATAAACACTTCCTTTGGTGAGTAAATGTCCAGCTTATAGGCTATACCTACTTAGATAATTACCATTGGTTAGTTAAGCAAAGTGCATCATAAAATTGTAGCCCATCCAATTATTACTAATATCGACCTGTTTAACTTGCCACGTCAAATATCACGAAACACGAAACTCTATTAGCAATATCGCGTTAATCCAGTAATGCTATTAAACAAACTCAGTTTCATAGTCCACCGGTTACACTCCACTGTAAATTGAAACGCGGGAAAATATAGAACTAAAATGAAAATGTTCTACATTTGACATTATTGTTGACATTTTATTTAGAAGGCAGCGCCATTTTGAAATGTCAGATTGGTTTGGTTTTACACCCGGTTTCTGAAAGGCTTGTCAACGCTAAAATTAACTAATCTCCTGTTAAATCTCTTGTCAAATCATCTGATTGGTTGTTGATAATTCAGTCAACCAATCAGATGACTTGACAAGAGATTAAATTGATTTTAACATTGATCGGCCTTTCGGAAACCGTGTGTTAGTGTACCTACGTGACTCAAAGAAGTGTTGACATTGATCGACCATTTTGAGCTGTTTACAAGCAATGCTGATTGCAATTTCATATTTAAAGTCTTGATTATAAAGTTGTATTTTGTAGCGAGTTATTTGCTTCTTCATTTAATTCGGAAAGGCCTGGAACATTAAGCTTATAATTAGGAAAATAGGTGCGAAAAATATGAGAATAAACATCACATTCTTAAACGACTCACACTCAAAATAATGTAGAATTTTTGTGACTTTGGTTCTTATAAGTATCTTTAAAAATAAGTCTTAATTCAAATATAACATCCCAAAACATGGCCAACCAATGTTTTTAAAAAAGCAATTATCGTAAGTGCTTCGAGAAAAAACCTAGATCATTTATGCAGAGCCAATAAAAGGAAAAAAGAAATATAGGACGGAGTGCAAATAAGCTGGAAACCTATCCGAGTATTCTATAGCAATTGTCGGTTAATGGGATTGGGGCGTGACTAGATTACTGCGACTAATTGATGGTATCGCGTGGCTAGCTGATTGATTAGGATGCACAAGCTACGGACCAGAAAATCCTTGTAATTAAAAAAAAAAGCCAATAGAACTAGAAAAAATAAAGGAGCTTCCGTGGTCTTCAAGTCGAACGAAGGATAATTGTTCAAAAGGAGTTTTAGAAAGAATTTGATATTGTAGTACGAACGTAGAGGAAGTTTGCATATTACTCCTTCTTAAAAGGGTGAATGGGTCTGTTATTCCTCTCGTGTCATATAAAAAAGTTATGAAGTTGTTTTTCTATGTTTAAGATATGGTTATATAAATAATCGGGATAAGCGTAACAGAAATGAATGGACGACAATTTTTTTTTTTTTGAGCTTTTCTCTTGCTTTTAAAGATAATTTTCAATAATTTCTGGAAAACTTTCATCTTTTTTGACATCGACTTTCTTTTACAACAAGTTTGTATATTCTACAAGTGCGCTCTTTAATGAGGGAAAACATTTATTAATATTTTTTTATTTGTTGTATTTTTTATGTTTACATCACTAAGCATGTTCAATCAGTTTTTTCTTTTTATCTTTGTTTTAAAGAAACTTTATGTTTACTAAGAGATTGTGTAACCCCGATTAGTGTGAAAGAACTGTCGCGTCTGTAATGGTTTATGTTAATCTGTTGGAGTATTCTGTAATCAGCTTAATTGTGGTGGCTTCGTGGCTGTGTTGTGCTCTTTGTTTACGTGCTATGTTTAATGTGTAATGTGACAATATGGTCGTCCAAAAGTGCTTCGAAAATGGATACCTTTGTGGTGTTTTTTTACTGAACAAGAAATCCATTTTATCAAAAGAGAACGTTGTCTAGGGTTTTCTCCTGTGACGTAGGTGTGTTTTTACAAAAACATTTTCACATTCACCTAACCAGACCTGAAATTATATTTTGTGTTTTACATAAATATTTTGTGGGAATCGAATCGTTCCATGACTTTTTTTTCCTGTACTTACTTGGTTCTCCGCTAATGCTAGGTTCAAATAAAATGTCTTTTTCATTTATATTCCTTATAGTAAAAAATCAACAATTACCTACTTATCATATTTAGTTACAATTAATATAAAAAATATTTTGTATTATGTTCTTCCGTACTAAGTTATGTTTCATTTGTTACAGAAATATGTCGTCAGCACAGATCGGAGTGGAGATATCCATGTGCATGTACAAGTAAGTATTTATGTAATATGTATGTTACAATGAAAGTATTGTCAATGTGACTCCAGAATAATCACGTCATTTCAAACTTCGCAATTATGTATGATATCTGCCTATGAATATTATAAAATATAATAATTTAAGCAATTGTCTCAACTTTTCCATATAGGAAAATAAATTTAGGTTCCTCTTCTTAGCTCCTCTTAAGTTATAACTGATTTTAATCTAAAATAAAATATCGAAAATCTAGCACGATTCCATAATTGGATTGACTAAACGACACTATACGATATTATTAGTATATATTATTATACGATATTCAATTGTTATTTCAAATTATCAAAAATGAAAATTCGTTTTCTAATAATTTTTGTACGACGTATTATTGTAGCGCCATGTTTTTTGGCATCAAATAATCAATTACTTATTATTTTTAAGTTATAATTAAATTGGTATAAATAAATTGGTATGTAAAGTCAACAAATAAAAGTAAATAAAGAATTTTATGCAATCGTGTCAAGCTATTAACGTACATTTGCCTTCTCGTTTATGAAAATGAAATAGAGTTTATCCGTTTGCCATTTAAATTCCCTTGACTTTTGGCGGGAAACCCTAAATGACGCCATCTTGGCTGAACAAAATTGTGTCATAATGTGGAAAATTAGTTTGCGTCTGTGGTACCTAACTGGGACGCGACTCATACCTCCACTAAGGAAATGATAATTATTAATGTTATTTTTAGAAAAAGGTAAAATTTATATATCACAGTATTGGAAATTAAATAAATCCAATTTTAATCTATGATTTTTAATGTTTCCATAAAAGAAATGAGCATACTAAGTATTTATTTTGGACATAGTTCAAACTTTGTTGTTAAACTAAATTGATGCTAATATAAGCAGACCTCATTAATTGGCATTGTAGGAGATATGTTTTAGTTTTAAATTAATCAAACCAAACTTCTTTTATTGAGAATGGAAGGTAAAATTCGTAACATTTGCAACTATTTTGTAGCCAGTTCTTCTAAAATTATTATTCGATTATGTTCACCCACGTTTACATTTTCTTTTTTTTCTGCTAACCAGGGAATTATACCTCAACCTAATAAGGTAAGCCAGTGTGATTTCAAACCATTCGTCTTCCTATAATACATACATACAATGTTATCTACGTTTTGATTACTATCGCAGACTAAACATCATGATAATATTTTTATACAAGTCCTTCAAAGACGTCTTGAGCAAAATACTTTTCAATATAATAACAACAAACAGATGAAAAATAATGTGCAAAAGGACCACATACCTTCTGCAAAGACGACCGTTAAATATTTTTTATGATTTCATTCTTATTATACTCTCATATCTCTTCATAAAGTCAAAGTCAACGGCAAAGTCAAAGTTCAGGACTTTGACTTTTAGTCGTGGTCCTTTTGTCTTTTAAATTTTTTGTGTGAAATCATTCTTACCATTACTTTTTTTTGCTTATGAGAGTGTGTGTGAATTTTCACAAGAAGCACCAATAACATTAGGTAGCTATGTACTTTGAATTATTTTTGTAGCAGGTACTTATCTAATTTTTAAATACAAGTTCAATGCAAGGACTGGCTGGAAATATAATTGAAGCCGTAGGTAAGCAATTTAGTCTAAGAATCAATGCGTTTATAATTGTATTTTTTTGGATATATTTCCAGCACTGCTAATTTCGTGGCTATTTATAAAATGTTTTTTTTTTACCTATATATTGGCAATAAGCCATTAAGTGTATTACACGATTTTGTTTATTCTTAACTCTTTTTTGTCAGAATATTGTAAGCAAGAAGTTATTAATTCCATTATTAGCGTTTCTAGTAGGTACTACACATTCATACCTAGATGGACATCTAGGCAAAAAGCTATGTTGTTGTTTCTTATTAAACACGACCAATACTCCAGATCTGCATATCACGTATTCAGACAATGAGTCTTTCAAGTCTATGAAATGACCTATATTCTAGAAACTTGTGTTGCCTTTGTCTACCTCTCTGTACGACATAGTTGTGGTACTATTATGTGTGTCTTAGACACTGGCGCTGTTCCCTTCAAAGTGAATCAACAGCTTGCTTATCAACAACAGAATGTGTGTTATGAGTATGACATCTTAAGGCCCAGAATGTGATATCGGATTGTCATAGGATATTGGATCGTAGACAGTTTAATGGATAGATTATTCTCCTTTGCGATTCTGGTCTTGTTTTAAGACCTTTGCTACCTGATGCTTTTAAAGGTTGAAGAGAATTGATTAATTGGTTTGTTTAATTTTTCAGGGGGACTTGAGCCAACAGGATAAAAGATGTGTATTCTTGACAGTGCACGATCTGGGGACCAATCGTAAGTACTTTTCAAACTTTTCTTTTTTGTAAGTACCTAATGTTTAGACTGTCGTCTTGGGAGAGGTTTTTGTAGAATAAAAGGCAAACGAGCATACAGATCACCTGATGAAGCACAAGGATGAAGTTTCTTGCTCGTACTTCTCCATTCAAAGCTAAAATTTGGAACGAACACCTAGCTTTCCTCACGAACAGACTGACAGACTACTATTCTATTTTGACGTTTCAAAAGTACCTTTTTATGGTTTAGTCGGAATAAATGATTTTGATTTAATATGATGTGAAGGGAATCACAGGCTTGTTTTCAGGTTCGATTCGAGAAAAGCGTTATATAGGTAGATTTTTCTAAAATTTTCCGTAATGGAATGGAGTTTGGAATTTTGCTTGGTACAAGGCTATAGAAAATTGTGTACTACTTTGTATGTTAATAATATGATGTACTTACTTTAACCCCTATCTCTTCTAGTAGTTTTCGAGACAAAACAACATCACTCTACGTTATGAAAGAAATAAAAATGACTTCACAATTTCAATTAGACTTTTATGACTGTTATCGTCTTTTATATTGAAGCGTTTTATTCTCTCATTGTGTGAGTGACTTTATTTTATTAGATAAATAAACCCACTTCTGTCGAGAACCACTCTAACTCCGTTTTATTGTTGACGTAAAGCCAAATAATGTCTATAAAGTTGTTTAAAATCACTAAAAATTGTTTCTTATTTAAGAAGGAACTTTGAATGCCTGTTGTGTAGGGTTTTGTTGGTCGAATAGGTTGGATTACCAAAATAAGGTATCGTTATTTTTATTAACCGCCATTTAAAAAAAAGAAGAGAGGTTCTCATTTCAACCAGTAGTAGTCATGGGTGTCACAATAATACGCTTTTCATTTACTTTTTTGAGAGTGACGAAAATCATCCAATTATATCCCCAACCTGGGAGGGGCGAGAAAGAGTGTGACTCTTTATGACTAGCTTCTGCCCGCAGATTGCCAAATTTCTTAAAGATCCGATCAGAAGTTTTTGGGTATAAGAATATGTACCTACATAAACCTTTTTTCCCATTTCACCTATCATACTTTTTCTACATCATCCAAAAGAAGGCTGGTGAGAATGCCTAGGCATTAAGTCCGCTAATGTACCAAAATAATATTATTGCATTGTTGCATTTTTAATTTTATCTTAGTAGCATAAGACAAAAAAAAGAACAGGACAGCATATTTTTTGGAAATAACATCTTATTCACGGGAACAGGAACGTACAGCGACATTAACTGACTCAGTCAGCTGCGCGCACGCTGCTCGTTTATAAGAGTCCCGTTGTAAGCTTGAAACTAGTTGAGCTTTTCTCAGTTAATTCATTATGATTAAGTTGTTATCTTACTTCTTACTAATATAATAAATGCGAAAGATATGATGTTTGGATTTTTGTATGTTTGTTCTCACGCCAAAACGGCTGGACGGATCTGGATGAAAGTTAGCACAAACATAGGATACACTCCCGAATAGGACATACAACATACCATGCGGTTGAAGCCGCGGGCGGAAGCTAGTTTTCTATAAATTACTATTTAATGGTCTCACTATAGTTATTATACAAAAAGAGCAGGATATTTTAAATACATATTATCCACAGACTACTCAATTTGCCAATGTTTGAATGATTGCCAATACGAGTTATGTTTTGCACTGGCTGTTAATAACTGTTCTAATTATGAACATCCATGATAGTGTGTGTTTACGATCGTGGTTCCAACTCCATACTCATCGGTGTATTACCAATGAGTTTGATGGGTTCGTAAACAATCAGGAAATTGGTATGGATATTGGTCAGTGATATGTTTAAACAGAGTGCTCTTTAAGATATATGAAACAATGAAACAATGAAACAATGAATTTATTTTTGCAAATAGGCCTTAAAACGGCACTTTTACACGTCAAATTATATGTGAAAAACTAGATGAAACTCGTAACAGTTCGATACGCATAGTTTTTATCACCAAGATCGAAGTTAATATTATTGTAGTCAATAATTATAAACCTTAAAATAATTACATCTAGAACAATTGTTCTCTTCAAAAAGGTTTGTCAAAAGTTAAGCAAGATTCTAATTAAAGTGTGCGTAAGATTCTTGTATTTACGGTTGACGTAACGCACACATTGATAAAAATAATTCTACCATTACATAAAATTTTTGCCTATAAGTGGGGAAATTTTATCTTTTACACAGCTATTTAAAGCCGCTCTTCTTTCACATTTATAATATTAAGTAGGAATTGATTGAAAGACTCTAGTGGGGCATAAAAAGATTTCACTCAGCTATGAAAGCATTTTTCCACATAATGTTCTTACAGCTTCTTATGTATATAACGTGTACTAGTTTTGTATGATGCAGATAAACAGACAATGAATTTAGATTTCTTTTCTTTCTAGTAATTTATACGGTCAAATGCTAGGTTGCTGCAGGTTTAGGAATATAGGATATAATATTAATATGACATGTACGTTAGGCGTAATCATTCCTTTCTTTTCCCATCCCTAATACCCAATTCCCCAATTCTCATATCTCCAAACCTCAAATCAACAATCCTTAAATCTCTAACAATCCACAAAAGGCCGACAACTCCTTTGGTGTTGTAGGTGTCCATATACGACGACGATTGCTAACCTTCAGGTGATCAGAAGACTCGATTGCCGACCAATCCCATAAAAATACAACTGCCCTATATATCTTTTTTTCTTTGGTTATAGTTAGTCAAATATAATCTGTTTAAAAGACTGATTGAGTGGTTTAAATGCGTCATAGAAAGAGTAAATTCTTTATCTTTGTAAACATTGTCTGAGATTTGAAAATTTACTGTATATAACATTGGGTTTATAGGTAGTATATAACATTGGGTACTGTCGAATGTGCAACTCAAGAATGTAAACTAAGAACCCAAACTTTATTGCGCCTGCAACTTCTTTACGGCAATCGCCACACCGAACCTTTACAAATTAAAAAAAAGCTGCTTGATGATCGAGGCAGTCTATTCTTCCTTTATCAAAATAGTTTTTACCAAATATCTATGTTTAAAGAACAGGGAAAAATATTATTCGTTGCAGATTCGACAATGGTTGACTTCGTGAACAGTCCCGCGATGTCAGAGATCAAGGAGCGTTCCTGTTTCATCCACGTGGATGTGCCAGGGCACGAGGAGAACTCGCCAGATCTGCCAGACTCGTGAGTACATTGAGTTTGTAGTCTATTTAGTAATATTGAGTGTAGGAAATGTTACAAAGTGAGAAAAAGCCTTTGCTCAGCAGTGGACACTTTTAGGCTGTTGATGATGATGGTTTTATATTAAAAGTCCATAGTTTTCACAATGAAAAACATTTCTGTATCTTCCACGCTCAAGGACACCAACAGACTTAATACAGGGAGTCAGTACATACCTATCTAGTCCACAAACCTATATCAAATTGAACTTACCTAATAAAAAATGGAAAAGGGTCCGATAAAACCTTTTTCTTTTTATTTAACTACACGCAATTCTTATTCTCACATGTACTAGGAATATTTAAGTTGCAGTCATTGATTTTATACGAGGTCAAGACACTCTGTGTACAATTTTAAAAGGTACTCGTATTTTGCAAGTCACAATGCTATTCAATTAATTGAACACCATTTTAAAGGTCAAATAAAGCTCTAAAGAGTTGGGGGCGGTTCTTTTAGTTAGGATCTTGTTTGTAATACGTTGCCTTCTAAAAAGACCGTACTAAGTTTCTGAGGATTCAGTGGTAGGAAATAATCATTGATTGAAATAATACTCAAATTCCTCTAAATAAACAAAATGCAATTTTTTGTTTGCGTAATTTAATAAAACTTTAACGTTAGAAGTTACACTGTCAATTTTCAAAATATCAACTTTTATAGTTATAGCAAAATATGTAATATCTCTCTCTACAGCTACCAGTTCCCGTCACTCCAAACATTGGGCGAAGATCTGATAACAGTGTTGGACTTCCTCCACGTGCGCTATGCAGTTGGCTTGGGGGAAGGTGCAGGCGCCAATGTTCTCGCCAGGTGCGGGCTGGCCCATCCGAGGCGTCTCTTGGGCCTGATCCTTGTCAACTGCACAGCCTCCACCTCCTCAGTGGCTGATGCTTTCCGCAGTCGGTTCTCCCGATGGCGAGGAGCTGATATCTCGCAGTCCGAAGAGGACTTTCTCATCTACCATAAGTTTGGCCACGTGAGTTTTGAAAACGAAAAGCATTTTAGCTACCAGGTATTTCTTCTTCTGTTTTTGTTACTAATATTACTAATTGATCACTTTGAGCTACTTTTTGGTAAGAATGTGGTTTGTTGTTTTCGGAAGTATATAATAATTTCTTTGACTTTCATATTATATTGTGACTTGTTCTTATCTTTTAGATTTTCATAGTCATTGTTTATTATTTCTAAAATGATATTATGTATTAGCCGTCGTGTGGAATTATTTCATTTTAATTTAATTTAAATTTGTTCCCTTTTTTAACCGATTTCCAAAAAGGAGGAAGGTTCAATTCCAATTCGACCGTATATATGCTTTTTTATGTTTGTCATTATAATAGTTCCGCCCGTAGTAGCAATTTCTTTACTTCGACTAACATACTAACATCTATTAGTTTGTAGTTTTTGCTTTTAGATAGCTTTGTATTGTACTTTTTGTGTTGTAAATAATAATTATTATTATAAAAAGAAATTATTTGGATATTTTGTCTTTTAAACTAACATAGTTTAATGATTGAAACTAAAATGATGTGTTATTCAAGGTTGATGTACTCTTGGCCCAAAATGTAATTTATACTCGTCTTCTTTATTAGTAGACGATTAGTTATCTATCTGTAGGTAAAGGTTTATTTTTTGGCAGGTATTTGATCGCTATCACGCTTGGACCTACACACGTAATGGGCTGAATAACTGACAAAACCAATGGGCTAAAATGTTACTGAAGGTCAAATTTAAGGCAAACCATGCACATTATTAATGAAACGTAAAGAAACGTACTATATACACTATTTGACCACAACAAAAATATCCCAATAAAAGTCATTCTTTTTTCTAAATTGAGCTTCCATTATGCTCACCGAAATTATAGTATCATCTGTTTTCATGTTCACTTCTAATTTAATAGCCGCCTTTTTGTTCACTTTGTTTTTTTATCACGTAAAAATAATTTTGATCTGATAAAAAAATCTATTTAATACATAACGTAGCAGGCTGTTATTAAGGTTGTAGTGTATTGTTAAAATCTATCATTTATTTTAGGTGTTTGCTTTGTTGGTTAATCACAAACAAATAAATAAATAAAACTAATATTCTGTAAGTATTTACCTAAAGGTAGTAACCGCAGCTTATGTAGGTCTAGGTATTTTCGATGTCGCAAGTCGCCGTAAGCTTAGCGATAGTGTAGTTATTAACTTGAGCATTGCATAAGGTACTCTATGGGTCGTTTGTAGTACCTAAATTCTACAGTCGTATTGCTAGTTATTATTATTATTACCTAATATTTATTTGTGTAAGGCAAATATTATCAAAAGACTTCTCAAGCCCCGGAGTGTCAACTCTTACTGACTAAAACCACGCGATTCCTTCTCCTGCTCCAGGCCTAGGCCGCAGTACATTATTACACCCATAACACCGGCTGTAGAATATTTAATTTTGTATTGTTTTGAGTGTTTTTTTAAACGTTGTATTAGTTGATAATAATTTTGAAGTTGATAAGTAGTAATAATGTGGGTAATTTTCTGGTAACTATATGTATAATAAAAACGTATCTAATTTCTTGTTTTTAGTAAATATTTTTATGTAAACATTTTAAATTCGCTCATTGTTTTAAATCATTTAAGTACTTAATTTCATATTCCTCGTTGAGGTCGATATTTTGTTGCACCTACCACATTTATTTCTTCACCACCCAAAGGTAGAGAATGCCTAAAGCGTTAAGTCTGCCATTGTACAATGTCCAGTACAAAAGTATAAATATAAATAAATAAATATTTTACCAGCATAATTATAACAAGGAATACAATCAACCAACACTTTTTTTGGCAGGGTCATAGAACGAACGTCAAGTTACTTTGTATACGGCTAAGGAAATAAAGTTTGATAAATAAGTTAATTGGTGTTTAATGAATCTATACCTTAACACGTGTGTTTAAAATCTGAAAAGCAGTTATCTAAAAGAAAAATTTCAATGTAGAACGCAATTTGTATGATTATGCGCCATAGAAGATCAGTCAAAATAAATAGTTTTCAAGGAGATATGACAGGCGTCTGTACTGAATCAAGTACTTAATGAATCTTTTTTTTACACGTGGACCGAATAATTTGGTCGATAGTATTTCTTCTATTGTTTGATTATCTGGTTCTAAAATGCTGTTAATCTTCCAGCAAATATCAAGTGACCCGTTGGAGGCAGGTGAACGTGACCGCACCCTGGCGGAGTACCGGTCTCGACTGCGCGGAAACCTCAACACTCATAACATCAAGCAGTATGTTCGAGCGTTCATCAAGTGAGTTGATAGTTTGTGCCTTATCACTACACAGTGTGTGGGAGAGCCAAGCTTCGGCACGAATGGGTCGGCTCGACCGGAGTGATACCACGGCCTCACAGAATACCGACGTGAAACAACGTGAGGTTACCGGAGGCCCAATCCTTCCCCTCCCCCGATCCCTCCCAATCCCTAAATTTCCAAACGCTAATCCCTAAAAGGTCGGCTACGCACTCGTAACTCCTCCGTTGCGTCCATCAGGTAATCCGTCTGCTCGTTTGCCGACCTATTATTACATAAAATAAAACACAGTACAAAATAAAACAAAGTCACTTTTTCCGTTCCTACATTCCTATGTATGCTTAAATCTTTAAAACTACAAAACGGCATTTGATGCGGTTTTTTTAATACATGGAGTGATTGAAGATTTATATAGATATAAATATCATCCATTTAATAGTGGAAAAATTAAGTAACAGTATTGCACCCGAGGTTCGTGTCAATATTCATATAAGCCATGCTTCACCACAAATGCACCGGTTCGAACCGCGTGACTTCACTAAATACCACGGCCTCAAACAATAATGTCGTGTAAACGTGTAAACCACCTTTTCGTTAACCTTTCCTCCCATTCCCTATGCTGTTTTTTTAAATCCCTCCAATAGTCCGGCAACGAACTTGTAATTTTCGATAATGCGGGTTTCAATGGGCGGCGCCGATTGCTTAACTTTCGGTGATCCTGATCTATAATAAAAAAAAACATGTGAATACCATGGAATAGACTAATTGCTCACTTAATTCTAATTGTCGATCAAACCCCTAGTTAAGCTTTAAAAAATGAAAATTTAACATCTGAAAAAAAATTCTGTTTCTCAATTACTATTATAGCTAGGTTTTCTCTTGGATTTAGACACAAATTGATGTTATATTAGGCTACTTTGCGATAATTTTCTTACCAACATTAATTTTTATTAGCATTACAAAGGAAAACACTCAAAATAATTGCAATATTTCCGATTGTATAAAACCTATTGCAGTTTTTACAACTGCAACATATACATGTCTAAAAGGTTTTTTCAATATACCTTAGTTAGACAATTCATTTGTTTAATACATTGTTGGCGTGATTGCTGTAATCAATGAGTGATCAAGGACAAGACTAATATGTTTTACTTAGATTCAGAATTAAATGATCTTCATAATAAAGGCATGCCTTTGCTATTATTGATAGCACAGTTGACACGGACCTGGTTGATCTGGCGCGGATTCAATTACCGCGAATTTTGTTTTGGGTCTGAGTTTGATGTAGATGTTAACTTGTATGTTTGTTGACACAGGACAAAATCCTAGTGTAGGATAAAGTAACGAAAAAATTGAGAGAAACACTTATTTTTTTTCAAACATTTATGTATTCTTTTTATAAAAAAATCAATTTTACTTCTTCACAGATTCGAGGTCCGTGCCTTTGTGGCCATACTAAGTATAATAAATTTCCTATTAACCCGACCTGACTTCGGTACCGAATCTGGCTTTAACAACTTACCTACAGATACCATTATTGAGTTAAGATTTATTATTTTTTTGAGAAATTGTAAGTGTTATCTAATATTTCTCACATCAAAGAATTCAAAACATAATTGTAATAAGTTTGAAACAATAAAACAATGAAACAATGAATTTATTTTTGCAGATAGGCCATGAAACGGCACTTATACACGTCAAATTATATGTGAAAAACTAGATGAAGCCGTAATAAGTTTGCTTGCCGAAAATAGTAGACGATGAATGTGGAACCATTTTATTTTTATTAACGTCTGTAAGACCATACTCCTTGCAAATATACGTTCTTTTCTAAGTAGTAATGAAACAATGAATTTATTTTTGCAAATAGGCCATAAAACGGCACTTTTACACGTCAAATTATATGTGAAAAACTAGATGAAGCCGGCATTTCCTATCTGACTACTCTGAGAAGAAATGCCGAAACAAACTCAGAGGTCAGTCTCTTTTCAAGTTCAGACAATGTAAAATAACAATGTGAGAGAACCGTGCAAGTTCATTCTGTAGTGGTCTTTTGAGGAAAGAACCACACCAGTTTAAGTGGACTCGTTCTGAAACAGGCACGCAAGTGTCAGTTTGCAACCAGTATAGTTAGTGCTGCTGAGTTGTCCGACGAACAATATTGATCGGTATTGTTCCTAAGAACATTTGGGTGGGTCGCGCAAGTACTCAAACTGTCAGAACGCAGATAACTGGTAATCAAAAAGCACGGCAAGTCTCACACGGTCCTTAAACTAACAATAATATAAAATAATAAAAATGTCAATAAATAAATAAAAAAAATGTCAATTATGAAATAAAAATGTCACAATAGGTGATCATGTCATTGTATAAAAAAATAATAAAATAAACGTAATGTCAAATTGTATATAAAAGTGTAACTTATGTTACAAACATGTCAACATGACCTGTGCAGACATTACAGCGGCTCATTCCCAAGCCTGACTATCCTCTAAGTAGTCTTTTATTTTATAAAATGCTTTACAGCAAAGTTTAGCCTTTATTACACTTTTAAATTTATTGAGGCTCAAATTTTGAATATCGCTAGGAATTTTATTGTAAAATCGTATACATTGACATCCAAACGAACTACTTATTTTCTGAAGCCTGGAGGCAGGCACAACATATTTGTTTTTCCCCCTCGTGTTGATATTATGTATATCACTATATTTCCTAAAAAGCTTTTGTTTTTATGAGCGTGAATTACATTTTCATAAATATACTATTATTATTTGTATTGAGAGGCAACTGTCATTATTTTAGATTCCTTAAATAATTTTCTGAGCGAATGCCTCGGACTAAGATTATAGATTGAAAGTAAGTTAAAATATCCCAATACTTTTTAAAACCCTGTATTTCTACTTCCAGTCGTAAGGATCTGGTGCTTCGCGGTTGTCAGCCAGATATCCTCCTCATCACGGGCATGCTAAGCCCCTACTCGACTGTCATTGAGAAGATGTACAAGGAGTTGGACAAAGAGAGGGTCACCATTCTTAAGGTGGATCGAGCTGGCGATGTCTTGGCTGAAACTGTAAGTATATGCTAGTAAAATATAGGACAGATAATTAACAAAATGTTGGTTTATTTGAGTCTAAATCAAAGTATTTTTCCCAATACGAGCACGAAGTACTGAGAGGAGGTCGGGCAACCGGCTGCAGAACTACGTGTCACGGGTTCGATTCCCGCAACGAGCAACCCTTCGTGTGACCCAAAAATTGTTGTTTTGTGTCTACGGTGTCATGTGTATGTGAAATTGTATGCTGTTCCACCCATGACATAGGAGAAAACCTAAAGGTCGGACGATCTAAAAAATAAAAAATAAGTATCCATAATGTTGACACTTTAAAAACTATACATATTGTCCGTCGTCCGTTTATTAACCAAAATGTTATTGAACTTCATTGATAATTTGGATTGGATAAGAACGTGCCAGAAACTCCATTTTTCCCTTTACGAACTTCTGCATGCTTGAATACCTAAATATGTACTATCAGGAATGCATTTCGTAATGAGGAAGGTACACTATATGTTTTATTTTTATATCTTTAAGAACAAGATTTCCGTATATTTAGGCAAACGTAATTTTCAACAATAAATACAACTCTACCGTGTCATTGCTCTTGAAACTTAATATCCATAGTTCACGGTCTGTCACGGCCTTATATCTGAATTATCTGATTACCTGTGTAACCGATGAATGGTAACGAGTATCCGCAGAGTAACTTATAAGAAACCTGTTGGGATATCTCTTAATATTAGTTCGCGTTACGTAACTTACTACGCTATGTCGATCTTCGTCAAGGTGCGCCGGCGCATGCGAATCTAATAGGCCCCCCCTTTGCAACCGTCACAACGCAATCACTCGTCCGCTGTTACACCAAAGTAAAAGTAAAACCGCGTTCATTGACTCACCGAGACCCTTGCTGATATACCGCGGATCAAGTTTGTAAACAAAACTTTGCCCAAGTTTTTATATAACTTACAACTTTTGTGAAGTAATTGTGTATAACATGTTGCATTGAACTAAACCAAAATGTCTGTGATCTTACTTATCATTGAAATTATAATCATCGGGGGAATGATAGTCGGCCTTTATCAGAAGAATACCAATTTAGTGTGCAAATCAAAGAAGAGATACGATGGCAAGACGGTGCTAGTGACGGGTGGGACTGCTGGCATGGGGCTCGAGATCGCCGCAGATTTTGCACACAGAGGAGCCAGGGTCATCGTAGCGTGCCCCTTCGAAGATGAAGGCTTGCACGGCAAAAAGCTTATCATAAGAAGCTCTGGTAATGAAAACGTAGTGTTCAAACTACTAGATCTCGCTTCTTTACAATCTATAAGAAACTTCGCTTCCGATATATTGAAAACAGAAGACAGATTGGATATTTTGGTAAATAACGCTGGTGTCGGGATCCCCGGGGACTTCCTCACCGCTGATGGAATGAATTTCATCATGCAAGTGAACTATTTTGGCACTTTTCTACTGACAATGTTACTCCTACCGCTTCTGAAGAAGACGGGCACAACGTCTGAACCGAGTAGGATTGTAAACACATCGTCTGTATTGCACAAGTTTGGCAAAATTGATTTCAACAATTGGAACAAGACAGGGTACTGGGCTAAAATGAGGATATACGGGAACAGCAAGCTTTGTTTAGCACTATTCACACGGGAACTAGCAAAAAGGATGAAGAACCCAACTGTTATAGTGAATATCGTGGATCCAGGAGCAGTTGGGACGCGGATCTTTAATAGTTCTCGGATCGCGTGGGCCAGTTTCGTATCATTTATGGCGTTGATCTTGTTCAAACATCCTTGGGAAGGTGCACAAACAGCCTTATACGCTGCTACTAGTGACAGAGCTGGTAAATTTACAGGGGAGTACTTTAAGAACTGTCAGAGAGTTCAAGCTAGTGAGTTAATTTATGATGAGAAGCTGGCTGCGAGGGTCTGGGAGGAGTCAGTGAGACTTGTGAAATTAAGTGATGAGGAACTAAACCAGTGCTTCAGTTCTTAGATCCGTGTTGTGATTAATAGTAATTATAAAGTTTCAAGAAAGACACCTGTATGTGTCTAAGGTGATAACACTGATAAATTGCTAAGTGATTCCGTGTAATTTTCATTCAGGATGTTAATGCTAATTTTTGTTGACTTGTAATGAAATAGTAGTATGTTGGTAGCATTAATAGCATGTTGCGTGACCCCGTTCCGCTCTGCTGGATGGTCGGTACCTTTTTTACATTAACACGTTCAATTAAACGAATGTCAAAATCAATACCTCCTTGAAATTATTGTGTAGGGATAATTTCTTAACTATGTTTATTTATAGTTTTACTACTTAATCCTTTTGTGTAATAAGAAATAAATTATTTGAGTTAACTTATTGTTTTTTTTGTGTTATATTTTTTAGGTATAAAGAAATATTTTTTATTTTTCTTTCGTTGTTAATGTTAATTAACACACCTTCACTTGTTAATGTTAGTTAGGAAACAAATTGTATGACTGGTTAAGTTAATACCTAAATAGCGAAGGTAATCCAGGTTTCAACACTTTCTAAACCGACTTCGATTTTCAGATTTCTTGATCTTCAAATGTTGATACATAGACCCTGAAATATCTCATTTACATATAAGGGGAAAAATAGGTACTATCAAGGAAATCTTTATATGATAAGGGCTAGTTACATTGATGCAAAATCCGCAATCTTCTTTTTATTGTTTATAATAAAGAATAATTCATTATAAAAAAAAAAATTTGCAAATACTGCTATTTGTTAGTTTCGCTAAAAATCTAAAAATCGAGAATGTTTTGGATAATTTTCGTCGTGAAATATTTCTTAAGGTTAAGTTCTTAAGGGTAAGGCTTAAAAAATATTTTATGACCGAATAATAATATATTTAAGACGGTACGGAGTTCGCCGAGTCAGCTAGTAACGAATATATTATGTATACATATGTATTCAGGTACCTACAATATATGCGGCAACTAATTACACATTACTTACAATTCCTTATTTTTTAATTTCAGCCAGCTAAGATAGCGCAGTCTCTGCTACTGTTCTGCCAAGGTCAGGGTTTGCTGACATCACTGCCCCCACCAGGGGTGGAACGTCGCATGTCCCGCGCCATGTCGATGGAAGAGTACGACAAACCCAACATTCGTCGTCTCTCTCTCACCCCAAGCGTGGCAGAGTCACCCCCGCACAGGAAACTCTAGCTGAAGAGATCCGACTCCTTACTCGAGGAGACGGTGTAAGAGGATTTACTCTGAAGATTGGGCGTTTTAGGATACGTAGTTTTCTGTATTAAAATATAGATGGCATTACTTGCACGCAGTGAAAGTTCATCGCACGTCAAGTTTCACTCGTGCTTCAAACCTTTATTGACCTTAAATTATTATTAATTATGTAATATTTAGAGAAATAAAAAAATTGCACATTATATAGAGTTGGAGAAGTAAGTAATGAGATGTCTAGAAAACGCCTATCTTAAAAAAAATTTTCGTTTTTTTACTATCATGTTAATAATTTAAACATGTCTAATGTAGGTTTGTTTTAGTATTCGTATTAGGTTAGAAGAATGAGCGTTATTGTTGCATTAAAATACATAATATAACATATCGAAGGCATTGTTACAAATGTCTTTTTGTATAGTTATAATTATTGCATAATTTTTTGTACTTTGATATTACAGTATCATTTTGAAGAGCTTTACCCATTGAATTTTTTTGGCTTATCCTCGTAAAATGTTTATACAATATATTATTAACGCTTATTAAGTCGAGAAACGATCAAGATTTATATTAAAATTATATTTTTAAATCAATATTATACTGAATAAAGATTGATAATGAATTTATTAATAATATTTTAATAGAAAGTTAAAGATTATTTATTGTATTCTAAACTTGTTTTTTTTTAATAGGAAATATACTACCCAATATGTCTGAAGGAAAACAGTATATTATTAAGGTATACATAGCTAAAATGCACCTTATATTCAAATGGAAACAGATCACAATGCATCGCTAGTCTGTTGTTTTATTGCAAGAATGTGTTACAGTTTTATTTTGTTACGTAAATTATTATATTTCAATAAAATGCTACTTTATTAAAAATTATCGTATTCTATTATCTGTACAAAGTATGTAATATCTAGAATAGTTTAAATACTAGGTATTAAGTGTATAAGATTACATTGATATTTAATTCAGAATAAATAAATATACTTCTAGATTGAAATGTATTTTTATTGGATCACCTTTTTTATGTAATAGGTCAAAATGAGCAGACGGATTTTCATGTCCCCTCAATGAATCCACCCCACACAATGAATTTACAAGAAAATTGTTAAGTATTGTTTTTTCAGAATACAAAATATATACATTGCTGAACTGTGCAGATATATTTAGCAGACATTCCTGCTAAATGTTAGTATCTCTGGCTTTAGATTCCGTTGAGATCCCAGGTGGCTACAGTCAAACATATATAATTAGAACGTCAGGATTGAGGAGCCTAAGAAAATGCGCTCATATACAAAATTTACTCTGTTTTACTATTTTACTTCTATACTGCAAAAACAAACACAACACCTGCTAAATGATCAGTATGTCAAATATATTAATTGATCGCTCACATCCAATAGAAATTCACCTCTTTGAGTTTAGATTGAGGAGCCATATTAAAAGTATTGTATTTTCTTTCATTTTAGCGCTACAGAAGCTAAATTTTTAGACAGCAATATGCAAAATTGCTACTAAATGATACATTTTCATAAATATTCATTTATTACTTAACGAGTTCCAGGTTTTTTTTTTTTTTTTGTGAGGGGAAAATCATCAAATGACTTCTCCCGCCCAGGGCCGGGCAGGAGGGAGTGTCAGACTCTTACTGACTAAAAACCCCCCTGTTCCTTCTCCTGCTCTGTGCCGAGGTCGCGGTACCTTATTGCGCTTACCCCGCAACCCCGGCTGAACATCAGCCCTTTAGGGCCCCGTCTGTGGTGGTCTATTGGCTCTTTGAGGCGCGCGCGGAACGCTACGCGCCGTACGCTCGGGCCTGGTTCTGGTCGGGCGGCGAGCTGCCCTTACTCGCCGACCGCAGGCCCGTACTTACGGTGGCCGGAGATCGTCCCTCGATCCCCGACGCCCGTAGTGTCGCCAGTTGCGGCTGCTGGGGCGTGAGGAGGAGGATTGCTCCCTCACGCGGGCCGCCTCTCTCTTTGCGAGCATGACTGCTTCACAAAAGGAGGAGACGGCGTCCCAGTTCCTCTCACTCCGCACCATGGCCTCGACTAAGGCCGGGCGCGAGAGGTCGCCGCCGCCGATCACTTCCCTGAGGATACGGCGGTGCTCAGCCCAGGCAGGGCATACCGCTACCGTATGCTCCACCGTATCCTCTAGGTGGTCCTCACAATGACGACACTCGGGCGTTTCCTCCCGCTGAATCCGAAACAGGAACCTACCGAAGCTGTCGTGCCCGGTAAGCACCTGCGTCAGGCGGAAGGTGAGGACGCCGTGGCGTCTCTCAAGCCACTCCTCAAAGAGGGGTCTTACCGCTGCTATGGTAGCGTGCCCGGAACGAGTTCCAGGTGGCTCCTCAATTCAGACGTTTAGATTGAGGAGCCACTTTTGCATTAAAATAACTAGTGATACATTTTGCTGCTAAATCTAGAATTCGTGCTGCAAAATAAGCTACATTGCCGTTAAATAATGGTGAGTACAGATTTTAAAAATCTGATGTGGCTCCTCATTCCTTTCGGACATGGATTTTCTAATGGTAAGCAATCAGCGCCGCCCATGGACACCCGCAACGCAGGAGTTACGAGTTCGTTGCCGACCTTTTGGGGATTAGGGATTTGGAGTATTAGGTACTGGGGAGGGATTGGGGGCGGTGAAGGATTGGGCCTCCGGTAACCTCATTCGCACTGCCAAACACAACGCTGTAGTTGTTTCACTCCGGTTATCTGTGAGGCCGTGGTATCGCTCCGGTTGAGCCGACCCATTCGTGCCGAAGCATAGCTCTCCCACACTTAAAATATCTCCCACACCTATTCGCTATATATATAGCGCACGACGTGGCAGAAATGTGAATTAATTCTGGACTGTCATATTGTGTCAAATTGCTTTATTTTCATAACTTCCTTTATAATTTTAAGTAAAAACGTAAAAAATTGCGTTATGGATCATAGTACATGCTGTGTCGTAAATCGTAAAAACAATGGGAGAATTAAAATTCAAATCCTGTGTATTATAATATTCATATTTGACAGATGACAAGTCCTGAATAGTTGCGGCCACTAGGGGCGCTGTCATCGCGCACACAACGAATAGTGATTGGTGCCATTAACATCAACATCAGAGGCATAGCAGATACTTTAGCGATCATTTGAGCCCGCCGCATAAATAGCAAGTAACGTGCTTATTACCTCAGTGCACTTTACTGCACATTTGTTGCAAAACTTCATATCCGTAAGGATTGAGGAGTCACATTAGATTTTTTGAAATCCAATTTTACCATTATTTAGCAGCTTCTATACGAATACGAATTCTAGATTTCACAGCAAAATATATCACTATAGTCAGAATTTTAATTCGATTCCTGATTTGACATGACCTACTGTCATTTAGTGAAATAATGATACCACATATAACAGTGTAGTGATGAACACAAAAATCGATAAACAATCAGTGAATCAGTTTCAGGAAGGCATTCACAAAATTACGGCTACCGAATGGTCTAAATGCGTATCCCATGTTTTCAAAGAAGAGGAAAAAATGAGTAAGCTAGATATGTTATTTGACAATAAATATCACTGACACAATTCATAATAAATGTTACAGAAAGTAACTGCGATACCGATAGCGATGACGGCGACAATTTATAAAATGTTTGTTTTGTTTGTCATGTTCCTTCATGATAACATTTTTTATTAATTTCACACACAATTGCAAAAGAAACGTCTCAGATCGTTAATTAATTGTCAAAACTAAATTATCGGTTCAGAAATATTTTATTTCCTGATAAACTTAGTTTACGTGAGTAAATTTATAAACGAGAGGAATCAATTCAGAAATATTCGATTTCCATATCGAATAATTTCGCAACGTCACTATTTATTACGTATCATAACGTTGCAACACTGAAATTGTCAAATCTGGAATGGAATTAAAATGTCGAGTAAGGTACATTTTGCTACTAAATCTAGAATTCGTAGGTACTGCAAAATAGGCTACATTGCTGCTAAATAATAGTGAGACCAGATTTGAAAAATCTGATGAGGCTCCTCAATCTTTCCTTACACAAACTGGTCGCCGCGCGGCACTTTCGAGCGCGCCAATGTTCAAGCTGCCGCGTGCCAATGTTGGATGGTATGCCGCGCGTAGTCGATACGCGACTTATAAGATTTTTCAGTTACAAAAACAATACTATAGTCAGAATTTTAATTCGATTCCTGATTTGATATGACCTGTTGTCATTTTGTGAAATAATGATACCACATATAACAGTGTAGTGATGAACACAAAAATCGATAAACAATCAGTGAATCAGTTTCCGGAAGGCATTCAAAAAAATTACGGCTACCGAATGGTCTAAATGCGTATCCCATGTTGTCGAAGAAGAGAGAAAAAAATGAGGAAGCTAGATATGTTAATTGACAATAAAAATGACAGCCACAATTTATAATAAATGTTACAATCTTTGAGTTTCTCACGAAGACAAGGCAGAGTGTTTTTGGTAAGGCGCGTCAACATTTCGGCATGCGTTCCTGTTGGACCCTTGATGGAGTTATTTTCATCAAGGCCCCTGACGGCAGCCGCCATAAAGTGATGTCTCTGGATGAGCTGGGTCTTCTGCTGGGAAGATATCCTAGGGCACAGGACACGTCCACCTCGGCTGATAAGCGGGCTACGGAGGTGCTTGGAGGCCTGAAAGGTACACGCAAGTGAGTAACTTCACACAATGAGGAATGATTGTCTGCATTAACATTTATTTGTTTTATTCCTACTTACTTGCGTTCTTCCCGTAATGTGCAAATAGTATTTAGTGTTTAATTTTCGTATCACTGACCAACACATATTTTAGAATCTTATTCCAACTTATATTGTACAATCATTTCCTTTGTTAACCTCGTTTTAGCCATTTACCCTCCTCGTATTAGATATGTTATCATTTGCTTTCAGTCGGTAGTCGTATCCCAATAATTATATCGGTTTATTGTAATACCGCCTTACAGTAATTAATTTCGCAATACACGGTTTTATAAATCAATTCTTCTGATGTGACTGAATATTGTAATTTTGCAGGTAGACCGTAATTTGTTTGTTGCATGTTTGTTCTTTATCTTAATTATTTTAATGTCAATATGTCACTGTCAACATAACATTTAAATAACATGTCAAAATAACATAAAGTCCCTTTTCCGTTAGACGTTTTGTTGTATCTAGTGAATAATGTCTTTTTTTTTCTATCAAATTTTTTTTGTTACTAATTTTTATTTGGTTCTTTAAAATTTACTCTATATGTATACTTAAACCGATCAATATTGATGTTAGCTGGCGGGTGGTGCAGAGAGAAAGATTTTAGATTATTTTTAGCAAGCTTATTACTATAATAACTTTATTAAATAGGTACATTTTTTTTATAATTTATTTATATAATTTTATTTATATAGATATTTATCTTATTGTACTTATTTGCACGCGTACTTTATAATTTATTGACATGATAGATGACGATTCTTTTTTGTCAGCCAATTACTCTTCTGATAACGATAGCTTCTGCTCTCTGGGCGACACTCTGACTGACTTTGTGCATACTCACTTTACTGATAATAAGCGATTATTGAACGTCTGCCACCTGAATGCGCAAAGCATTCCAAGTCACTTTAATGAACTTTACGACGTATTCAGTAATAGCAACGTTCACGCTATCCTGATATCGGAAACTTGGCTCAAACCAGAACTAGCTTCTACTGTCTACCCCCTTCCCGGTTATGTTCTTATACGGAACGACCGAACTATCAGGAGAGGTGGTGGTGTAGCCATATATCTCCGCTGTGAGTTTCCCTTTAAGGTGCTTTCTACTTCTCCTCCCAACTGTCCTGCGGAATATCTGTTTCTTGAAGTTTGTAGCCAGGGGGGGAAAGCTGTGTTGGGGGTTGTCTACTGTCCTCCTACTGTTGATTATTTCACTGACTTCGAATCAGTTCTAGAATCTTTGGGTTCTGAGTACCAGCACC